CCCCAAAACCCCAAAACCCCAAAACCCCAAAACCCCAAAACCCCTAATCATGCACTATTTATTGACGATGACATAATTTTACATAATTTAATTAGTATGGGAATAACAGAAAATACCTGAAGAAGTCAATTACGTAAAATTTACGACGTTACTACACCAAGTCAGTTTATCTGCATGATCATATCCACAGTGCTGCTGTTGTACTTCCCAACGATTATTGAGTCTTCAAAGACATATACACGCTATAGACAACTTGAACGGCCAGATTATGAAGTTGAATCTGTCAATGACTTTTGGATGATGATCCCTCTTTGTGCCGCTCTTAGATTAAGCAAGATAATGATTGCTTATATATCCAAAAGCTTTTTTTTGAGAAAGCTTAGTCCAAAATATAGCGATGGTGACCTTACTCAGAAAGTCGATAAATGTCTCAAAGGCGTATTTAAAGTGGTATATTTCTCTGTTGTGTTCTACATTGGCTTGTTTGAAGTGCTAAACAAGACAAATTTCGGTCCTCGCCTTACTCTTGGTGATGGAGATCATCGATTAGCATTGGGGAACTTTCCTTATACCCCAATGCCCACCATGCTGAAGTTTTACTACATGTTGAGTATGTCATATTACGTTGAGGATGGAATTGGCCACTTGTTCCAGACTCCGAAATTTGATTTTTGGGAAATGATTCTCCACCATATTATCGCTTTCATGTTATTATTAGATTCATATATAAATGGACTATGGATTTTTGCCGTTTTGATCCTCCCACAAATGGATTTCGAGGACATCTGGATTGGCCTTATCCGCTGCACCATGGACTACTGCCACGATGCAGTAACGCTAGTCATTTATAGCACAATCTGCATTTCATGGATCTGGATGAGGTTTTTGGTCTTCGGATACGTAATTTTCTACTCTTTTTCCTTCACTTGAAGAGTTAGTCTTGATAATGACACCAGGATCATAATGTTCAATAACTTATGATTGGTGACCCTTACCGGGCTGAACATTTACTGGTTCATCCTGCTACTAAAAATGGGTCTGGGATTCTTGAAGAACAATAAGTGAGAAGACATGCAAGCAGTTCTCAACTTGGAGTGCGACAAGACAAAACAGAAAGAAATTAAAAATTTGAATTAATCTTTGATATAGTAGATAGAGTTCAATTGTCTTTTTAGAAAATGGGGTTTTGGGGTTTTGGGGTTTTGGGGTTTTGGGGTTTTGGGG